ATGTGTGTGTGTGTGTTTGTTTGTTTGTACGCGTCTCTAGCCAAGGGGTTAAACGCTTTAGGAAAAGTACATTTCCCTGCTTTCCTCAATTCACCCAGCTGCTAAAAGAAAGAGGACAATTGGTATCATGCAGCTGATAACATCGGTATGTGTGGAACAGGCTGCTACTCAGTTCGCCCTGCGGCCACCCTTCCTTATTTTTTAAACTCTGTAGGACTGACATTATAGTTCAGGACAAACAAGCCATCCAGTCATGTGAGCCTTCAGCGAAATACACAACTACAAATAGAATGTCTTTTAATCTATTTATATTTTAAATTGCGCCTTCCCTCAGAGTTATCTTACTCTCTGTGCTGTTCCCTGATGTTTTCGTTGTTGCTTTAGAAGAAGGCAAAATTTAAGTCATAAGGTGGCATCTGTAGTGTAGTGGTTAGGTGCTTCGCCGGCGCACACAGAAGACCTGAGTTCGATTCCTGTGTGGGGCGAATCTTTATCGAGTATCTCCGTCTTTCTGCAGGGACGTTGTTGTAGGCTATCCCTTTCAACTGGAGTTGGCTCTGACAAGCCGTGTCGAAGTCCACCTCCTAATTAATTATCTCGAATTGTGTTGACAGCAACTTTATTAAAACAAGATTCGTAGACGAAATAAACCTATTCCCCTTTCCTTGAACTCAGAGAAAATAAGCAAAACAAGGAGAAATTGTTATCCTTGAAGGGTCATAACACGCTACCCAGGAAAGATATTGTACAAACGTATTACACGTTTTGTAAATATAGGTACTGAAAAATCCTACAAAATTTCGTAGACGTATGTTAAAAGTTTCTTCTAATGATACCATTGTTGTTGCAAATAGAACATTGTTGGCTCTGTGAACACGATTTGTATTACCCTAGTCATGCTTGTTGTTCCCAGCTGTTTCAACAATACTTTCAGTAATGGTGTTACAGTCTTTCCACCAATTGATTATGTTAATAATAATTGTAGCGTGCTAGGTGGTATGCCATGCATTCTTGTGGCAAATAATTAATATATGCGTTGACAACTGTCGCACCAGGTTTTTCTTCCCAGTAGGCCTACGTGATTCAGATAGATAGATAGATAGATAGATAGATAGATAGATAGATAGATAGATAGATAGAGGGAAACTATGTGCCGTATCAGGGCCACATTCACTTACA